TTCTCCGGCAATTTAAAAAAAATCTCCACTGATGCTCTTGTGAGTCTCTGTCTTCTCCCTGCTGTATGTCCATTACCTACAATAAATAACAGCCACAGAGAAGACATCTAGCTAACAATCTATGTCCACCACTACCCTCTTCTTCTTGGAAGGACATTCATGCCATGCAGCTATCCACCTGTTTTTGAAGGATACTCCTGACCATCAGTGTCCAGTCATTGCTGAGGTATGTGATTCCTATATTTCTCCACAAGCTGCACTCCAGACTGTAAAAGACAAAGACACGACTGACAGAGCTCTACATGCTTGCTGAACTCCTGCAGTGCACTAAATGTTCTCCAGCGTTCCTTAGACAAATCTCCACTGATGCTCTTGTGAGTTTCCTTCTTCTGTCTGTTGTGTGTCCACTACCTGAAAAAGAAACGCCTGCCGCAGAGAATACATCTATCTATCTAAAGCTGAGCTCAGACTACAGAAGTTTTAGTCCAATTTATTTTGACCTCCCGAGAATCGGAGATGAAATCTTGTCGAGGACTTTGATCGGTTCTCAGCGCAGATTATCTGGTAATGTGAGCCGTTTAAAGATAGAATCTTGCACCTCGCCATCTTGAACACAAATCGCAGCCTCCCTGATCATAACAGACATGATTGAAATCCAGAAATTCAAATCGGGCTGATCACAGCAGTTCAAACCTATTCAGTATTAACAAAGCCATGAGCTGGAGAGAATCATGTTGCTTTCAATAAATAAATAAATATATCATTTTTTTGAATAAGCTTGAATTATCCTTTATTATTAGCCAGATTTTACGTTATTCTTATTGTGGTGTGCAGATATTGATGACACGTGTAGCCGGGCACTAGAACATTGCCAGTTATCTCCAAAACCCAAAATGATTCAACATATTACAGTTTTTCTCAGTGGCTTTGGTGCATTTCTCACAACACTATTTACATTTGCACAACAGTTAATGCATTTCTCAAAACAATTAGTCATTTGTGCACATCATAGTAGCAGTTTCTCATTCCTTTCAACAAATTGCGAATGCTTTTGGACATGTATCAATTGCTTTCATACAACTCTTTGCTGTTAAAATTATTATTCGCTTATGTCATGTCAGTCAAAATTAACTAAACTTGTGAATGCTGAAAAGTCATTCCAATTTAAAACTAATAGTCCTCATTTCATTACTTGAGTCATTACATACAAAAATGTTGAACTAGTTGCCGAAATCTGACAAGCAAATTATATTAAAATTTTTACATCTTTATTTTCCAGAAAATGTCTTCTAAATTGAACAATTTCATGAATGATTTACAGACGTGTGTATGTTGTAGGTTCAGTTGCAATATGTACTTAATGTTTGAAAGTTGAGCACAGCACACATTGTTTACAGTTGTGCACAGCTCTGCCCAAAGGGAGTTTATGTTTGATGTAAATAAGAGTGTATTTATTCTTTTGCCCAATGCTGTGAATAAATTAGAATTGCAAAGAGCATCTGCAGTAAAAATGTGAAACATACATATTCAGTGTCTTGTAATCAGATTCCTCACTAAATGCAGTGATGTCTAACTTTACTGTAGTTTTCAAATGGCTGAGCAAATAGTATATAGTGCTGTCTTGAGCATTTTCAGAAAGTGTCACCAAAATCGAACTTTATTACATTGAAAAAAATAGACAAAGCCATTTGACTATCTTGTGAATAGACAATGGTGTCAGGACTTTTCCTCTCGATGACACTGACACTCTCATTGACATCAATACTTGCTTTTGAGGAATGAGCTATCCATTTTTTAGGAGGTGACTCACTTTTAAAGAGGCTCTAGCAATCTAAAAGCTGAGCTATTGCCAGTCAAACACAGCACAGCCATCGCAGCAAGACGGAGAGATTTCAATTATTGTCATAAATAGTAATATCATTGTGACAGGGTGGCTCAGTGGTTAGCACTGTCGCCTTACAGCAAGAAGGTCGTTGGATTGAGTCCCAGCTGGGTCAGTTGGCATTACTGTGTGGAGTTTGCAAGTTCTCCCTGTGTTCGTGTGGTTTTCCCCTGGGTGCTCTGGTTTCCCCCACAGTCCAAAGACATTCGATATAGGTGAACTGAATAAACTAAATTGGCCATAGTGTATGTGTGTGAATGTGAGAGTGTATGGGTGTGTGAATAATTGATATAATTATAATTGAACTTTCGTTTAGACATATCAAATCAACATTTCTTCATTCTGCTGTCCACTGCCTGCATGTCAGACCCTTATAAACATCCCAATTGCCAAATATTATTAGCCATATATAATACGCATTTATGAAATAAATGTTTGTGTGTGAGAGCAAATTAAAAAGACACTTGCGGCTCAACTTGCGTGTGTTAACTAAATTTTACAGGCTAACTGCATGAACAGCTACGCAAACTGAGACGTAGCGTAGCCTATTTCGAGTGCAGGATATTAGTGTTTTCCTGTAGTGGCAGTTGGTCAAATATTACTAAATTAATAATAAGCAATTAAAAAAGTGAGTTATTCCGTTTGTGGATAGGACAACGACCTCCTTATAATAAGCTTAAATGATCAGTTTTCATTAGCCACTAACGTTATTCTGTGTGTGAATATTTATGAGCCAGATGTAGCTGGGTAGCTATGCCTACTAAATTGCCAGTTATCTCCAAAAAACAAAAAGCTTAAACATTAAAATGTGCTTTTAGAAATCACAGATATATCTTTTCTGTGAGGGCTGTGTTTAGGATAGGGGATAGATTAGTGCTATGTACAGTATAAAAAAAATCCTTAGGCCTGTGTCTAGTGCCGTAAACCGACATAGAGTAGCTCTATATGATATAACAGATTATTTTTCCACACAATATAGGCAGTACAACAGGTAACAATTTAGCTTTTGAGCAAGAAAGCACAGCACATCGTGGCATGATGGAGAGATTATAAGTCTATTATTATTATTAGACATTTGTCTGGGCATTAGGGACGGGGAGTCGACTCCTCGACTCTCAATGAACCTAGTACTGAAATCGACTTCAGGACAGGAATATGAGAGTTGAGTCTGTTTTTTTCAAATCCTCCTGAATGAAGCTGTTTTAAGCTGCAGTTATAATGCTCATTCTCGAGCACGATGAACTCTGAAGGCAATTATAAATTTAGTGCTGCAGACAAAGTTTGCTTTCACTTTTAAATACCTATGAAACACAACTTTGTGCAATTTGGTTTTAAAGATGATCTGCCTGCGATGTCAAGTTTGCTGTGTTATCAATACAATTTAGCTCTAATATTTGGGCTATTCTTCTTGTTTATTTTGTAAATAACTACAAATTAAATACATTAAAATTAAAATACAATTAATAACAAACGAAATTCATTTCAAAAAGAGGATTTTTAAATACAAATAGAGACAAGGCTAAGTTCAAAAACAGCTCTGACTCACTTCTTTTCTTCCGGCGTATGCTGTCCCATAAACAAACCCTTATTTAACTACAATGAACAAATTGCACAAAACAAACAGTGATATTTAAAAGTAAAGTAATAGGCTGTTTAAAAGAACACATAAAAAAATAAAAATTTACAAGAGAGAGCAATATGATATGTTTTGAGGCACAGCTGATTTTATTTATTATTTTAGGTTTGTTATGAATTTCGTGTAGGGGGTTAATATTTAATCGGTCATTAAATCAAATTGAAATCTAGCTATATTGTTTATTGATCAGTTAGAGCAGGCATGTCCAAGCTCGGTCCTGGAGGGGCAGTGTCCTCCAAAGTTTAGTTCCAACCCCAATCAGACTGTAGGGATAGTTTACAGTTTAACCCAAAGAATGACCAGTCTGGTAAATGAAGAAGAGCCGGAGTCAGAGATTTAAATAAATAAATCAAGTTTACTGAAGATAGTTTGCAGTTTCATCCGCAGAACCCAGCTTCAACACTCGCAATGAGTTCCTAGGCCACTCTGCTTACAATCACCAATCAATAACAATTATACTCTCACATAACGTCATTAACTGCGTCATACATAAAGGTGTTCTAACCTGATTGGTTAAAACACAGATAGACTAGGAACATTTCCACGTGAGGTTCGTGCGTACAATTCTGAACAATATCTAAGCATAAACGTCAGACACCCTTTAGACTGATTAGAGCTGACTCCAGACCTGTGAAACGGATCAACAATCAAATGGAACACACACACTTTAAGTATAATCTGTTTCTTATCCAAGGCTGAGTGTACCGTCCGCCGTCTTTATCAAAACTGGTTAAAAACTGGTATAATCTACATTCAGGCAGTTATATTCTTACTACACAAAGTCTATCTTGAATAAAAAGTAGAATCACTTTAAAAGATTTAACCGTAAAACTATAGCAAAATCACTTTAGACATTTTAGACAGTATTAACTCCTAGAAATAACAATAGAAACAGTTGCTTCCAGTCCTCAGTTCCACTCAAGATCTCAATTCATTAATTAAAATCAATTCACAGTTAAATATTGAGAAACAGGATGATGAAAACGATAAACGTTGGTCCATGATGAGATGGACTGGAAAGCAGAAATCCGAATCCTTCAAGACACACCTGGGCTAGCTAATCAAGCTCTTACCAGGCTTTCTAGAAACATCTTTGCAGGTGTGTTGAGGCAAGTTGGAGCTAAAATCTGCAGGACACCGGCCCTCCAGGACCGAGTTTGGACACCCCTGAGTTAGAGCATCTGTTGCCTATAAAACAAATATAGTACTAAACAACCTCAGACTGTTCACTACTCCAGATTATTTTGTTCACTCATACTCTGTATTCATGTATCAAACATTTATATTAAGAAGATATTAAGGGTATTTCATGATTTTTATTTAAGCGTTGTTTGGGCTCAATTGGGGTATTTTTTAATTTTTTATTGAACTGCTGCTACACATCTTTTCATTAAATATTTTGATAATAAATTGAGGTTTTAACTTTCTGTCTCTAAGATTGCAATGTAATTTTCTAAATTAAAAAAAGTATAGGCTGATTATTATTTTATTTTGACTGCAGATGATTTAAAATGCTGATTTTGTCTGACCACAGGAGAACTTCTTGTATAAAGAAAGATATGATACAGCATGTTTAATCCTTGCGCTATTTTAAGTGAATGTAAAAGGTGTCGATTCTTGAGTCGATTCTACTGACTCCAAAATTAAGAGTCAAGAATAGCTGTCGACCCCGAAAAACCCAGAACCGAACCACCGCATAATTTAATAATCTAATATTAGTAAAAAAAAAAAAAAGCGTAATTTTTGACAAAGAGAGTGATGTGCTCCATCGGTCAGGATAACCTTAACATCTTGTGTGCTGTGGCGCAGTTTTCATATTTTGTACTTTGCACATATTTAAGATTTGAGGTGGGCTAATAAATTTGCCAAAGATTCTCCTCATGTGTTCACAGCAACCAGATTTCATTATCGGTTAGGTTTTTAAAACTCCTATAGTCTGAGCCCAGCTCAAGCCCACCACCGCCCCCCTTCCTCTTAAACATCTTTTGGTGATACTGTAGGTGATACCTGACCAGCAGTTTCTTATCATTTCTGAGATGTGATTCCCTAAATTCTCTACTCCACTCTGTAAAAGACAAAGAAAACATCAACAGAGCTCTACCTGCTTGTTCAATACTATCTATCCGTTCGTCCGTCCGTCCATCCAAAGAAAATACCCGACTATCACTCTGTGAAAATATAAATATGTAAATTAAAATGTTTGATGAAGTTAATTTGATTCAACTTAAAAATGTAAGGCTGTACCTAATTTATTATGATGCACTTGTGATTACTGAGGTGTGTTTCCCTGTTCTTCCACATGCTTCGTACAAATCTGCCAAAGAGAAAGATATCAGGTCTATAATTAATCTCAATAAATTTCTTTGGAAACTAACTCCATTTTTCAGTCTGTTCAAGCAGTTCTACCTCTTTGCCGAGCTCCAGGTCTTCCAGTTTATCTCCACTGTTCCCCTTGTTAGTCTCAGGGGTAAAGCTCTACTGGGCCACGAGCCCCCCTCAACTGCACCCCACCCAAAAAAAAAAACATTTATTTACCCATATATAAATAGCTATACTGAATATTTTAAATCAAAATTTGAATTATATTATAAATAAAACTATTATTATTATTTAATATTTGTATTATAATAATACTTTTTTCTCTAAATAATTAACATAATTAAATCATTCCAGTTGTGTCTTTACATTTGATTGATTTAAGATACTTTTGCTGCCACAAAGAAGACATCTTTCCAACTATCTGGAGCTGTAATTAGAAACATTGTTCCTGACTGTGTTCTATTCTCAGTTATCCCCCTATGCCCTATTCATTTAGAACATTTTAACATTCAAAGTTGCAATTATTAAAAAATAAAAAAATATTAAAGTCATCTCTCTTAGGTGTAATTTGCATTCAAACTATTTTTACAGTTTAGTTTTCGTGATCTTACAGATCTTACAGTTTACAACTGTGCTCCCTTCGCAGTGCACTTTGAAAACATTGATGTCATTTTGTACACAGCCTCATGGTGAAAGCTATAGGTGACCTGTTATTTAAAAGCGGAATTTATGTTACGTCTCCAAAGCTTGTGAAAACAAAAAGCATACGGTAATTCTTTTCATTTATATTGAGTCATTTATTAAGTATCTGTACTGTATATGACATGGGCCTGCCAGTTAGAACTTTCTAAAGTGGTTTACATGTGTTAAATTGTAAAAGTAGATTTTAAAAAATAATAAATAAATAAATATCCTTCTTAATATTAATAAGAATCATCATCATCACCATCATTAATATTATTATTAAAGTATCATTTTTTCATTTCTAATAAATAAAAAATATTACATTTCATTTTATAATAAATAGCCATTATTATTTATTTATTTTTATGATTTATATGATATTAGAATACGTGTTAGCTTTTGTAAGTGATATGTTTTAGAATAGAATGTGTAATGTTCAACTTCTCAATAATATTAGTAAAGCAAACATTAGCCCTATATGTGTCATTTACATATATTTCAGTTATTATAGAAAGCGAGTGCATATTTTTACCAAATCTAATATTGAATTCTATTGTAAATGCGTGTGCGTGTATAATTTGCACAAATAAATTAAGTTTCTTTACTCTAAAGAAGTAGTTTAGAGCATCATTACGGGCATTTTATCATAATTATAACTAATCTGGTTTAAGCGATAAATCTGCGACAGAGAAACTACAGGTTTTGGAAAACACTCGTCACTACATCATTCTTTTCTCAAACGATGCATCAGACTTTTATAGTTTAGCCGTGAGTTACTTCGTTGTTTGGGAAACGCAGCCCAGACCATCAGTTTCCAGTCATGCTGAGGTGCGAGTCCCATTTCTCCACAGGCCCCAGTCTAATCTGCAAAAGACAAAAACAAGACTAACAAAGCTCTACTTGCTGGATGATCTGCATCAATAAACCAAACGTTCTCCAGTGTTCCTCAGATAAATATTCACCATTTTGCTTGTGAGTCTGACTCTTCTGTCTGTTGAAGTTGTAAATAATAGCCACAGACAATACATATATCTAACAATCTATGCCCACCACCACCCCCTTCCACTTGGAAGGACATCCATCCATGCACCTATTCATCTACCTTTAAAGGATATTCCTGACCATTAGTGTCCATTGCTGAGGTGTGTGATTCCTATTTGTCTCCACATGCTGCACTCCAGCCTGGAAAAGATAAAGACACAACTAACAGAGCTCTACATGCTTGCTGAACTCCAGAAATGCATAAACTGTTAACCAGCGGTTTTCAGACAAATCTCCACCGATGCTCTTGTGAGTCTCCTTCTTCTGTCTGTTGTGTGTCCATTACAGGAAAAAGAAACACCTGCCGCAAACAAGACATTTATCTGGCTTAAAGAGATTCCAGACAATCATCTAGTATGTACAAATGAAAGTATATGATTTTAAATGTTTTATAAAGTTAATTTGATTCAACCTAAAAAAGTGTAAGTCTGTATCTAATTTATTACGATGCACTTGTCATTACTAAGGTGCGTTTCCCTGTTCCTCCACATGCTCCATGCCAACCTGTCAAAGAGAAAGATATCAGGTCGTTATTTTATCTCAATGGATTTCTTTGAAAGCAAACTCCAATTTTCAGTCTGTTCAAGCAGTTCTACCTGCTTCCTGAGCTCCAGGTCTTGCAGTATATCTCCACCATTCCGCTTGTGAGTCTCCTTCTTCTGCTCCACTCCAATCTGCAAACAAACAAAGACAGCCTCAAGTGCACAGTCCACACTTCTTTTAAACGGTTAAATAAGAGCATCATCCGTGAATTTAAAGTGAACTTAATCTTTTTAAAATAAAAGAATATTGTCAGCGCAATAGCCTTGTGGTCAATGCGCTGACATATGCTGCAGTAGCACAATAGGGCGTCCCGAGTTCGAAACCCAGCTCAAAGACAATTCCCAACCCTACACCCTTCTCTCTCTCCCACTTCGTTTCCTGTCTCATTACTGTCCTATCAAATAAAGGCAAAAAAGCCGAAAAAAAAGAATATTTCAGTGTGAACACACTACTTACACCATTTACACTACAAAATGGCATAGAATAGTGTACAAGTATGTGATTTGGAACGCACCCATAGACAGTACTGACAGAGCCCTACCTGCTGTTCTCCAGCATTTTCTAGATAAATGTCCACCGATGCTCTTTTGAGTCTCCCTCTTCTGCCTGCCCTCCATTAGCTGAAAAAGGAAAAACCTGACACAGACAAGGCCTAACTATCTATCTATACCAGTGGTTCTCAAATTGTGGTACGCAGGCTTTCTTCTAGAGGTGCACGGAGGAATCACAGAATAATAATTAAAAATATATTATATATATTTAAAAAAAAAAATGTATATATATATCTATATATATAAAAAAAAATATAACGCCCTTTTACCCTTTGATGCGTATGATAACACAGATGTGATCAGCATTGGTTGTTCCCTGTACTGTATGATCACACTGTTATTATTAGTATGTTTAGTGCATCATGTCATCAGATGCTAAGATTGAAAAAAACTGTGGAGCTCTCGAGCAGATACGCACTAGTGAAGTGCTTTTCAGTTACTGCAAACTCAGGAGTTTCTACAAGCTGCATCATTGGTGAAATAATTATCACAAACGTGTTAAAATTTTCATAGTTGTGTAAAATAATGTGTGTTTTCGATGTATAGCCGATACATATTTCGATATATATTTGTTTTGTAAATAGCCTAGCGGTGTGGCTTTTGATTTAGTTTGTTAAATGGTGCAGGTCGCAGAACAGATTAAAGCCAATTTTACCATGTTTGAACCTTGAAAAAACACAAAATGGAAGTTTGTGCACAGACGGAGCACCTGCAAACCTTACCCAAGTCGACCTGAAAAACGGTGGTCGGATGCACAGTTTACACAAACTCCGCGGTTTACTTATGATATGATCTCAATTCCACCAAATCATGGAAATGCTGCATGTATGAATTGATAAATCACCTATGAATTGGTCAGTGTATTTATAATCACTCACTTTTCTGAAACACATACTGTAAATGACGCGCTGTAAGCAGATCTAATCTCTAATTTAAATTGTAAATGTGAATCATATAATTCAAATACAAGTTAATGTTTTGGGCCCTATCATACACCCGGCGCAATGTGATGCAAGGCGCGGCGCAAAAGTCTTTTGCTAGTTTCAGCTTGGCGCAAGAGTGGTTTTGAGGCGTTGCGATACGCTGTTTGAATAGCAAATGCATTTGCGCTCATTTGTGCGCCCATAGGCGTTCTGGTCTAAAAAGGAAGGTGTTCTGAGGCACACTGCTGGCGCGTTGCTATTTTGCGAAACTAAAATAGATTTTTCATTAGACCAAAACAAACCCGGTCTAAACTCCAGCGCAGAGTTGCACCTCGCCTACACACTGCTTAATACGCACAAGAGAGCAATAGGCAAATCTTTACATATGAAAAAACTTAAATATTAGGGATATAGAATATAATAAGAATAGATATAGGATATAAATATAAAGGATTAAAATATTACAAAACATATTATTTTCTAGCCTACATGAATATGAAAAATCACTGCTTTTATGTCTTCTTCATCTCAGAGGGCTTTTTCAGTTAATTTATAACAATTTGCTTTTGTATAATGTTATTATTATTAGCAGTATTATTTATTATCTCCATATTTATATTTGTTTTATGAAATACAAGCTTAGATTTGCCCACCTGTCAGGTTTTAGACCATATGGGGCACAGCATGTGTATTAGGATATAACTCAGGTTTTTGACCACACTTCGTTATTATTGTTCATTTATTTGTTTGCTGGAAATTAGAACTGAATTTAGAAATAGTTTTGAAACAAATATTTGCGCTTAACAAACAAAATTAATTATTTATAGGCTAATTGATGTCTGTGCGTAAAGGTTTCCCTATCTAAGAGCGAAAGTGAAAGTAGATCGATTATCTCTCATTCTCATGCAGTAGATGCTCTGTTTAACAGTTTTCTGTTTAAAAAAACTGTTAACTGTTTGCTAGTGAAATGCTTTCCACTTAGACTTACTTTACGTCCTGTAAATAGCGAATGCGCTTATGGCGCGACGCAGCTGGCTCTTAAAGGGAATGGGAGATGAGACTCTAATTGGTTTATTCTCAAAACACACCTATAACTCTTAAGAAAATAAACTCAACCCTTGAAAGTGGATTTTCCCATCTTTAAATTAGCAAAAATGTGTTCTGACACGCCCTGAAAGCGTTTGCGCCCTGCGTTTTGCGCTCTGCGCATGGACCGTCAAAAAAAAGCCCTTAGATTTAAAGAGAGAGAGCGGGGATAGTTGTAACACTTACAATCTCTACAACAAGGAACTAGTTACAAATCAGCTGATTCACTTCACACATGCTCATTTTAGTCCTCATACCACATATGAAAAAGTCCTGTGACAGACACAGCAGATATTAGACAGAAAAACTACACTTCAGCTAAGATTAGCTAATTAATTATTTTTAAGATATCATTGCCTGATTTGTAGTTAAACCCATGTAATCTGTGTGTCTGATTGTGGATATACTTAATCCACATTGTTGGTGATAATGTTTTAGCTGTTAGCTGTAGGAGAACAGATTCATGGCCACATAATGCTGGGTCAGTTGAAACAACAAAAGCTAGTAACTTGTTAGTCACATCAGTGAAATGTTACCACCAACCTCAAGCAGATTTAAAACTGTATTTATATGATTTAATTTCAGTATTGCTATAGCTTATAAAAGAGAAAGTCAAAAGTAGTTTGAGTTCAGTGTTTGACCTCTGTGGGCTCATGAAGCCTGCAAACACAAATAGTGTTCAATTGTTGAAGCTGATGCACATTTGCACATTTCATTCAGCTTTGTAACACAGAGACACACAAACTATACTGAAAGCTCAATGCTGAATAAAAAGCTTTCAAATCCATTTTTATGTCATAATTCTCATTTTATGATGTTACAACTAACCCAGACAGTGGGCTGAATTGTAACATTTCACTCCTCCTGTTTGAGGGCTTACTCACACTATTTACAGTTGCCTTGAACCGGGCCGAAGCACATTTGTCCCCCCTCCCGTCTCACCTGACGGCCCGCACTCACATCGCATTTGGGACTGAGCATGCTTACGTCATCAATGATGCACAGTTCAGTAAGAAGCGCTCTCACTCAGCACAGTGGAAATTTCTTTAGTTATATCGTTTTCAAGAGTTCACACTTAGCTGATGACTGATTATAAGCAAGTTTAGCATGCTGTCCCGGGAGAGAGACCTGAGCTCAAAAGGTCCTTGAGCCCTGGGCTCCCTCCCGTTTGCCTCAGGTAGATCTCGACAACTCCCCCCATGATATGAGCTGATGACTAAAATAAATGCTATGAAGAGATATGCTGCTGAATGAGAGTTTGAATGTAGTGCTAAATTTAGATTGATCAATTCACTTGTAGTACATGTTTTTGGAATGTGGGAGGAAACCGGAGAACCCAGGGAAAACCCATGCGAGCACGGGAAGAACATGCAAACTATGCACAGAAATGACAGTCAGCCTGTTAAAGGACTAGAACCGGTGACGCTCTTGCTGTGAGGCTGCATTGCTACCCACTGGGCCACCGTGCCACCCTATGAAGGGAAAGCTGGAGAGGTAGGGGTGGAAGGGGTGACACGCAGTTAATTATTTCGCTGAACAGATCAGCCACTTTTGACGCTCATAAACAATTATAAAGTCATCGCGCTGCAGGAATTAAGAGGTTTGCTACAGGTGCAGCTGTCATGTAGTGAGGTGTTTGCGTCTTTAATAATCTACGACAGTTTGCATTTCATTGAACAGTATGAATGATTAATAAATCCATATAAAACAGTTCCTTAAATGTCACGTCTCGTCTTCAGTTTCCAGCCCAAGTGAATCGCGCGCTGGCACACCTCTTCCAACCAGGCCAGGGCCGCCAAAGTGTACCGCACCTGAGCCAGATTCGGAGCACTCACACTTCTCAAACGTTATGGGCCTGGGCACGGTACTGATAGCATAGTGTGAGTACGCCCTGAAACTAAAAAGTGTTCACATTTACTGTTTACGCTGCAAAAATTACTTATTTGGCCATTTAATAGCAGACACTTGTAACTCAAGATCTCAAAGATATATAAAGAAATATAATAGAAGTACAACTATCCCCGGTCTCCCCCATACAAATATATCATAGGTACATACAACTTATATTTCAAAATGTATGAAAAATAATTTATAATACTTATGCTCTTGTGAGTGTCTCTCTTCCGCCTGTTGAGAATTCATTATCTACAATGTAAATAACAGCCACAGACAAAACATCTATTTAACAATCTATGCCCACCACCACCCCCTTCCACTTGGAAGGACATCTATCCATGCACCCATACTTCTGCATTAAAAGGATATTCTTGACCATCAGTGTCCAGTCACCACTGAGGTGTGTGATTCCTATTGGTCTCCACATGCTCCACTCCAGTCTGTAAAAGACAAAGACACGACTAACAGAGCTCTACATGCTTGCTGAACTCCAGCAATGCACAAGCTGCTCTCCAGCGTTCTTCAGATAAATCTCCACTGATGCTCTTGTGAGTCTCCTTCTTCTGTTTGTTGTGTGTCCATTACCTGAAAAAGAAACACCTGCGGCAGACAAGACATCTATCTAACTATTTACTGTATCTGAAGGAAATACCCAATCATCACTTAGTCTTTACAAATTAAAGTATATAATTTAAAAATGTTTTATTAAGTTAATTTGATTCAACTAAAAATGTAAGTCTATACCTAATTTATTACGATGTACTTGTCAATACTGATGTGTGGTTCGCTGTTTCTCCACATGCTCCATGCCAACCTGTCAAAGAGAAAGATATCAGGTCTTTAATCTCAATATATTTCTTTGGAAACAAACTCCATTGTTTAGTCTGTTCAAGCAGTTCTACCTGTTTCCTGAGCCCCAGATTTTCAAGTATATTTCCACTGTTCCTGTGACTCTTCTACTTCTGCTCCACTCCAACCTACAAATGACAAAAGCTGCGTCCCAAATGGCACGCTATACACTATGAACTTATACACTATGTACTTATGCACTTACACACTCAACAGCATAGTATATGAATGTAGTGTCCCAAATAGAACACAATCGGTTATTTACTAACCGCAAATTCAGCTGTCGTGCATTGAGAAGTTTGCGTATTTAATAAACTACGGCAGTTTGCGTTCAATGAACAGTAAGAATGATTAATAAATCCATATGAAACAGTCCCTTAAAAGTCACGTGTCGCTTTCAGTTTCGGGCCCAAGTGAACCGCACTCAGACCCACCTCTTCCAACCGGGCCAGGGCCGGCCAAGTGAACCGTGCTTGAGCCTGATTCAGCGCACTCACACTTCTCAAACGATCCGGGAAACGGGCTTGGGCACGGTACGGATGGCATAGTGTGAGTAGGCCCTTAGTGAAACAAATGACCAAACTGTCAAATAATACTTGCCATGAGTATAATCACTTTCACCATCAGGAAGCAGCATAATCACTCTTGTTGGAGAATTTTGCTTTCATAATCCAAAATAAAGTAATCAAACTTAGGCTCCTGATAGCTCCACTGATGCTCTTGTGAGTCTCCCTCTTCTGCCTGCTCTCTCTCCATTACCTGAAAAAGAAAAACCTGACAAAGACAAGGCCTAATTACTATCTACAACAACCAGCACTCCTTCATCTTGGAAGGACGTCCATCGATTCACACGTCCACCTAATTAAAAAAAAAATTAAATTCCTGACCATCCAGTCGTTGCTGAGGTGTGTGATTCCTTCTTTTCTCCATGTGGTGCCATCTGATCTGTAAAATACAATAGAAAGATGTCAAGTCATTCATTAATCTAATACCATTCTTTGGAAGTTTCATCTACCATTGTCTCCAGTCTGGTTCTGTTCTAAAACTAACAAATAATATTTCACACCTATAAGTAAATACTCTACTAGATGACAATCTATAAACTTAGAAGAGATAAATGTGCTACAATAATTAGTAAAACTGTAAATAAAACAAAAAACAATCAAAAGCTACAAATGTTGA